GGTCTGGCCAAAGGACAGTTAGGGGACGCCAGACTTCTTCAGCCGACATCGATGACAGCGGTTCCTCTAGTGTTGGATCGCATTTTGAAAGAAATATATGAGAAACTCAACTCCAGATCTCCCATATCTGCACCTCTTTTCACATATTTAATGGAATATAAGATTCGGTGGAAAACTAGAGGATATGACACTCCGATTGTCAACCGATTGCTGTGCAAAAAGATAGCCGAAGCGGTCGGCGGGAACTTGGAGTACATTATGGTCGGCGGCGCTGCACTCAACCCACGGACACAGGCTCTGCTTAAAGCCGCTCTCAATTGCAAACAAATAACTCAAGGTTTGATCTAATCATTTGATTTGTGTTGAAAATCATTAAACTAATGTTTATACCTGTCTTAGGATACGGGGCCACAGAAACGTGCGGAGGTGTGACCGGCATGTATGCGGACGATCTGACCTACGGTAGTATTGGCATTCCTCTGGAGGGCGCGAATATGAAATTGGTTGATTGGGCTGATGGGGGCTATTTAACCAAGGACAAACCTAATCCAAGGGGAGAGCTCATGATTGGCGGCGATCTTGTGGGAGACGGCTATTATAAGGCGCCCGAACTGACCGCCGAAGCGTTTGTCACTGATAGCGATGGTCTTCGTTGGTTCTATACGGGAGATATCGCTGAAGTGTTTCCCGACGGACACTTCCGCATCATTGACAGGAAAAAGGATTTAACAAAAGTATCAAATGGAGAGTACATCTCATTAGGAAAAGTGAGTCAAACATCTACTGTATTATAATTTTGAAAGTTGACTGAAATTTTCAATGATATTTATTATTTAACATTAATTTAATTGTCATTTCTCTGAACTTATAGATAGAAGCTTCGCTGAAATCAAGCAAATTAGTTGAGAATATATGTGTTGTGGCCAATAGTGAAGCCAATTATGTGATCGCTTTAGTGACGCCAAATAATAAGGCTCTGTTTAGTTTAGGCCAAGAACTGGGACTACCGGCCAGTTATGGTAGGGAACAGTTGTGCGCCGAGCCTTCAGTATGTGATAGAGTGTTGGAAAGTATCCGAGAAAGCGCTCAATTGAATGATTTGAAGCGAA